CAGCAGGAAACCCTAACGTACACTGTTGTTTCTAGGGTGCACCAGGAGCTACAGGTGGGATAGGACCACCTGGACAGAATGGGTCTGAGGTAAGGAGGCTTCACTGTATTTCCTCAAATGTAAACTTAATTCAGAAGTAAAAGTGGTTAGCATTGTTATCCTGACAAAGTCTAAGAATATACCAATAATGTTGTTAATTATAAAAATTCTGTTGAAGTATTTGCAAGTACACAACAGAAAATACTTGTACTCCTGTCAGTTTGTAAAAAGAAATGCTATGCAGACAACCCTAGTTATGTGGTATAACTGTTATGTTCAATTTCCCTAAATTCCGTAGGGTGATCCTGGTCCAACTGGTTTCAAAGGGCTTATTGGTCCTCAAGTAAGTCTATGTCTTCTTTTACCTTCAGTATGTATTGATACTGATGACATATTGAAGCATTACATTACAGTAGTTTCTTTCAATGTAAATTTATGTTTCACAGGGACCACTAGGTTTTCCAGGAGAGATGGGCTCACCTGGACCCAGGGGCACCCAGGTATATTTAGTTTAAAAATGGCCTATTCTAAACACTAACATGGTAATTTTTACATTTTTAAAACAACCATTTAGATTTTATAAAGTTCATGAAGATGTGATCATTGACACGGTACATATGACTATAAATATTTTTTACATCATCCTTTTCTGTGTTTGTTTTTGTTCAGGGTCAACCAGGCAATGACGGCCCTATTGGTCCAAAAGGGAATTTAGTGAGTATACATGAATACATCAATTTTATTTATTTTAAGATTATGTCTTTGCATTTGGAACTAAAACAGTTCTCTGTGATAGGGTGACATTGGACCAATTGGAAAAAAAGGATTTCCTGGTATTGAAGGTCCAATGGTAAGTCATTTAAGTGTGTAATTGATATCTTCAGGATAAACAAATAGGGTTAAACTAATTTGTCAGTGCTGGATTTTACCGACGTCTGACATTTTACAACTCCCCAAACAAGTTTCTCAGATAGCTACATGTTCATAAACTCACGGCTTTCTTGTAGAAGCTGGCTACCCACTGGAGAACTAGTACTTGGGACAGGATTTTAGTCCAATCACTATGATGTGTCCCAAGTTTTTTTCTGGGCCATTCACAGGGCACGAAAACACCTCTGACCTTGAGCCAACTGATCCGATTCTAGACTTTGAACTTTAAATCACTTCATACTTATAACTAGATAAAATACTCAGTTCAATTTACATGCCCTTTTAGTTGTAGAAATGACAAATGCCCTACAACAGTGTTTCTCATGGTGTTGACCAGGTTTCAGGATGTTTTGTTTGTTGCTGCAGGGTATGCCTGGAAGTCCTGGTTCAAAAGGATATGCAGGAGCAACAGTAAGTAATAAGTCATCATTTATGGCACCAGACATTCATTTACAGCATGTCTGTCTCATAAAGTGTCTGTAGAAAGACAGGGTCATTGCAGAGGTGGCAGTCACAGACAAGCAAAAACAAAAACACTAAAATAAAACATCACCAAGTCAAAACAACAAGCACATGTTTACGAAAATGAAATTGCTTGAAAGTTCACAGATAAACCAAGAAAACTATCAGATACAACTCTACAGTAACTTTCTTTTCTTTTGAGAGCCTGTAACAGGTCTGGCCTGACTCTGCCCTAACTCCAGGCTTAATCAGTAGGTAGAATTTTAATGTTAAATGTTTATTTAAATATCCTGTGTGTTTGTAGGGCTTTCAGGGGCAGGATGGTGACCAAGGAGATCCTGGACCCAAAGGAGACACAGTAAGATTAATAGACTGGTAATTAACGATGACCTGTAAAACTACATCAATATATAGGAGTTCCTGATGAGGTAGGAGAATGTCATTGAAGTAACATGAAATGGTTAACCAGCTAACCAACGTTTGATAGAAATGACAGAAGCCATGGGTTTCCTCTGTCAGTTACAGCTGAGGTTACTCTTCCTCCATGCGTTTATTGCTGCAGTCACTAGAAACTGCAGCCAGGACCTGTACTGAACCTCCTAATCTCAGGGCGTAGTTGTTACCATATGATAATGTTTATTACATTATATTGTGTTTCTCTTTATAGGATGTAATGACCAACACTAAAATTCCAAGTTTCACTTACATATGAACTTTACTCAGGGCCCACGAGGTGCTCCAGGAATTCAAGGTCCTCAAGGAGAGAGAGGAGAACGAGGCACCCTAGGCCTTTCAGGGGTCAGAGGTCAACCTGGGCCAAGAGGAAAACAGGTACTAATAATGACTACAAAGCACAAGACACACATTTGCGATGGACATTTATTTTATACATGAAATGTAAATGTTTCCAAATTCTGTTCAAATAATAATCTATGATAAAAATATGATAATATTTCATTATTAATAGAGGAAAAACAAGGAAAATAAATACATTTAAGTTTTATCAAAGGGGTGTCCTTCAAGTTGCATTACTGTGACTCACTGGACAATTGAATCAACTTAACCAAAAATAAAAAGTGAAAATACAGACAGATAATTTGTCCATGCAAATAATTAAGAGACATTTCTATAGTATTTGAAAAATCTATTCTTTTGATGATCACTTCAAATATTAACATTATTGCACTACATTACTTTGACAGTACTTTGAATTCTGCTATACAATCAATATTGCTGAGTCACTTGATTGACTCCTGATTTCCCAAACTACGTGGCAAGTCAAATGCTAGAAAATCTTTCCAAGTCCAAGTCATTTATAATTTTAATGACTTCCTGTCTCATCTCCTCAGGGTGAAGATGGGGAGGCTGGTCTCCAGGGAGAGATTGGGGAACTAGGGCCAAAGGTTAGAAGCTTTTTATTGCTTCCTGGTCAAGTGAAGGCCATAAAAGTGAACCATGTCTGTCAGATTTGATCATCCACCCAGAAATTTGTTACCCTACACTTCACTGAGCCGCAGGATGAAGAGATGACCTCTGTCGATGCCCCTGTTAGCACCACTGCTTTTACAGCTACCACTGACTTAACAGCTTTGACAAGTGAATTTGTGTCATTGCTGCTGTAAAATGAAAGATGTTTGGAAATAGTGGCTCAGTTCACAGGTATTTAAAAAAAAAAACAGCATTTACTGTCTAAACAGGACATAATTGAACAATTGAATGAAACGAATGCACTTTTTTCATGTTTTTGTTAAAAAATGTGGATGATTGAAATGATTATGATTATGTTGAAAAGATTTCAGTGAAGGTTAAAATCAATTCTATTATTTTATTAAAAATAATTATTAACCTAAAGTATATAATAAAGTATATAGTAAAATTATGTCAGTGAAGAAAACATAAAATAGAGGCTTTTCTGAATCTAAAGGAATGTGTGTGTATTTTTAAGGGCAACAGAGGCAGTCCAGGGCAAGGTGGGAAGACAGGACACAAAGGACAAAGGGTAATTTCAAATTCAAAATATAACTTTCCAATAGATTTGAACTTGTTTGAATTTTAGATGACTTCTAATTTATTTTTTTGTTTACTTTCCAGGGTCGTTCAGGACACCCTGGTACATTTGGTCTCCCAGGAATCCCAGTAAGAATGAAGGACAACAGCCGCCATTCATTTCATACAGTCTCTGAAACACAGTCACACATTTTTTGTTTGTCTTTACTGTTTCAGGGTTACAGAGGTCGAGTAGGGACTGAGGGCCCAGAAGGAAAGCCTGGTACACAGGTTCCCATTTTATGAATATTATTTTTGTAATGACATTGTAAGTCATGTGATCCTTGTACTCTTGATGTCTAATTAGTGTTCAAATGTTTGGCCTACATGGATCCTCAGTCCTTCACAGATTCTGTGAATTAGAAAAGTTATTTTTATTTGCATTAGACATTTTTTTTACTTTAAGAAAAATCTTTTGGTCATGTCATATATGTAACGTTTATTCAACCTTACCTTCAGGGTGTTATTGGATCCGTTGGCTCTCCTGGTCCTAAAGGAGACAAAGTAAGTTGGGTTTATTAAATTATTTGTCTGTTTATTTTCCCCACGATACATCTGTGAAATGTATAACAGTATGACGGTAATTTGAGAACATTACGTTATCTCTTTGTTCTTTCTTGCTCCTGAAGGGATATCGAGGTGCAGCTGGAGAACCAGGGCCACCAGGTCATCCAGGAGCCACAGTAGGACAACAGCATCTTACTCTATCACATTCCTTCTGGTGTTACCTTTGAATGTGCTAACAGGAAATCACATGTGATTTTAACAGGCTTCAGGAAAGCCTGGGGGAAATGGACACTCTGGCCCACCAGGGGAGAGAGTGAGTGAGCACAGAAAGAACTGTGTATGAATGTGTTTATTTGGGAAGAATTCAAATAGATCTTTTTTTAATGTGTTTGTGTAGGGCTTCACAGGAAAACCAGGAATGGGTGGCCCTCAGGGTCTGGTGGGCATGCACGTAAGTGGTCATCACCAACTATGCACCCATTGGTTGTCACCATAAGACCTCTGAATATTCACTGAAGTGTGTGTCACCCCACCTAGTGGGCTTCTGTGGAAATGTATGCTGGTTGTTAGAGGTAAAAGGCCTCTTATTTCTAGAACAGATTTGTCTATCAAAACTGCAACTATATATTGTCTATTTGTCATTTCAAAATAACTTTCTCCTATCACAAATCTGTGGTTCCCCACTTGTTCTACAAGAATGACTAAAACATTCCTTTTTTTTGGAAACCTGTTGTATTTGACACTATTGTTAGAGCGTTTTCAATATAGAGCCCCCTTTAGGTGAAGGGTACACATTACCAAAACTCATTTAGATGTCACTGCTGCTGTGTCTATTTGACCATCAAGTTTAATCCATTCTCTTCAAAGAAAGTGCATTTTTGTACTTTAAATTCTCTTGTGCTTCCTACTGCTGTTACAACTATGTCTTGACTCAATTTGGCAGCCAAGGGTTTGGAAATGTATCTGTCTAATACACAAACCCTTGTTTGATGTCCTTGAAGAGCAGAGGAGGGACATGTTTGAAAATGTGTGGTTTTGGCCTTGTTTATCTGTCTGTCTTTGATCAGCTTACTTAAAAACATTAAAGCCAGATTTTTACGACATTTTCATTTGTTTTCTACAGGATTTGCACGTTTTTTAAATGTAAAATGACTTAATTTGTGTAAAATTACCTACAAACATAAGATTAGAGCAACTGACAATAGTGATATAAGCTTATAATTTATGAATAAAAACTCTGAACTTCCTTAATGTAAAGAATGTAATAAATGTCCATTCAGTTGACCAAGTTACTGTAGAACAAAGTTCATTCTCTCTCTTAAATGTTTGACTGTAATGGGTTTCTTCTAGCCTTGGCACCACAGAAGGAAAGAAAATTTTTGTGTGCAGACCCTTTAATATAAACTGAATTCAGGTTGGGACTTAAGTGATTGAATATTGACAGGCTTGTTATTCACTTTAAATTGGAAGAACAAGAAAAAAACCTTGCTTTTCTTTTAGATTTCTCAGAACAGATTTTGGCCCTGCTCCTTTATTTTCTGTGTTCTGTGTTATGGAATATAGCATTACTTCAGAAAAGGGAGGTGATCACCTTCTCACTGTGACATAGCTCACCACTGCACACAACCAAATGTGACCTCTGCTTTTAACCCATCACCAAAGTGAACAGTGGGCAGCTTTAAGCGCCCAGGGAGCTTTGTATGGGGATGGAGCCATGCTCAGAGCACCTCAGTGGTAACTTGAAAGCTGGTGGACTCGAACTTGCAGCCTTCCAAGTCCACTTCCTTAACCACTAAGCCTCCAAGCTGCTACATGTAAACACAGGGTCTCTGTTTTCAACACAGGGTTACCCTGGAGCTGTGGGTCAGGCTGGGATGCCAGGTCACATGGGACAAAGGGTAAGATCTGATCTAATCTACTAAAAGTTAATTTCATATGATTTTTCCAAATAGCAGAAATAATGTCTATGGGATATTCTAGGTACATATTTTTTTGTATAGGACTTTATTACCAGCATCATGTATACTGTACAACAGTTGCTCTGTCCACAGTTAAAATGTTTGTGATTCTAATCTAATTTGAAGAATAGAGTAAATCATTTTAACAGTGTGACAGCAGTGTCCTGTGTCAAATGTTGTGCAGGGTGATGCTGGTGTCAGAGGACCCCCTGGCCACCGTGGAGAACCTGGAGCTCCAGTAAGTCTTGATTTGTTCTACCCAATGAACATCCCATGTTACCCTGGGCCTTTACTGACTATAGTATACTCCCCAGGGTCTGAGAGGTGTTCCAGGTGAAAGAGGTCCTCCGGGACCTCAGGTGAGAAACTGTGTGTTCACTAAAATCTGATAGTTTCCAGACTAGAACTTCCTTTCTAAACATTCTCTTTCCTTTCAGGGCCCCCAAGGAGACTTTGGGCCTAAAGGTGTTTGGGGGCTGACAGTGAGTAGGTTCAGTGTCGGGCAATTTCACAAAGCACAAACTTGCTCAGGTGGTTTTTACGCCGGTTACGCTGACTAAAATGCATATGTTCTGTACAGTGGAAATTTATTAAAGAAGGGGTTCCCAAAACGGTCTGTCACCTACAGGTGGTATTTGGACTGTCTAATTAACCATGTTGCTCTGTTGGTGGTGGTTTATTTTTAGAATATATTTAAAGTTCCAGTTTTAGTGCTACTTCTGTGTAGGGTGATAATCCTATTAGAAATGTATTATCTTCTTTGTACTCTTTGTACATTGTGTTTAAGGACCACTGATCTGAGATTAAGAATTTTTTAATTAAAAATGATCTGAGCATTTTTTTTGTTTGTTGGTTGACTCACATTAGCATATTATTTCAGGGCCCACCAGGCAAGACTGGACCACAGGGCAGCACTGGGATACCTGGTCCTACAGGGAGTCAAGGGCCACCAGGGCCAATAGGGTCACCTGGACCCACAGGGTTTCCAGTGAGTGCGTACCTTCCAACTTTTCTGCAGTATTTATTTTTAAAAATATTTTTAAAAAACTGCATAATTACACAATGTTATCCATCAATATTGTTAAAGTGCAATGTTTGTTTTCCATCAATATGTTTAAACTGTTTTGTCTCCTGATCAGGGTAGGACAGGAGTCTTTGGAATTATGGGAGAGGCAGGAGAAAAGGGAGAACAGGTAGAAAGATGCTAACTTAAATAAGTACTTGTTTTTTTATTATTTATTATTATATTTAGGAAAGTTTTAGGAAAGTGATCTTGTCACTGTGACACAGCACACCACTGCACACAACCAAATGTGACTTCTGCTTTTAACCCATCACCAAAGTGAACAGTGGGCAGCTTTAAGCACCCGGGGAGTAGTGTGTGGGGACAGTGACATGCTCAGAGCACCTCAGTGGTAACTTGGCAGCTAGTGGACTCGAACATGAACCCTTCCGGACCCAGGTCCGCTTCCTTAGCCACCACTTAGCCATCATGGCAGCATACACTTGTACATCTACAACATTATAAAATAAAGAGTAAATAAAAAATAAATTGCCACTTAAAACTTCAATTTGTCTTTACAAGCAAATACTACCATAAACCTTTATTTTCCCATTTTTCAGCACCTAAAATGATTTTTATATGAACTTATTTGTAGTGATTACAATAATTGCACAATTTTATTTTCAGATAAATGTTAATAGTGGGATAAAACATAAAATATTAAATTGTTAAATCATTTGTTGTTTACAGGGAGCCATTGGTCCTGCTGGTCATACTGGTGCTCCAGGTCTGGAGGGGCTGCAGGTGTGCTTGCTTACACACATTTCATTTAAGGAAAATAGTACCTCGGGTTCACACAGTAACAGTGACAATCCTTTTAGGGTCTTCAAGGAGCAACTGGAGAACAAGGCACTCCTGGAACTAAAGGTGAAAAGGTCTGTGGCCATCGTTACTGACACTCTCACATGTAAGAGTATAACATGATATCTATCAAGTATAACTTATGGCACAATCCTGCATGATCAGGGAGATCCAGGTCCACCAGGTCAACCAGGACCTAAGAGATTAAAGGGTGAACGAGGACCTCGGGGCTCACAGGGGCCACAGGGTGAACCTGGCCAGAGGGGCAAAGAGGTTAGGGCTATTGAACTTTTTTTGTAATATTTTTCTTTATCAAGTGAATAATGATTGTCATTAAATAACCATATTTAAAAGCTAGCAACTTCTGCTAATGTTTTAAATAAAATAAAATAGTATCTTTGTCACTTAAATACAATTTAAAAGCTTCATTTATAAGTACCGGTACCTGCTGTTTGTCTTTGCAGGGAGATGTTGGACAACCTGGTGCAGTAGGCGCTTCAGGTGCTAAAGGAGAAAAGGTGAGGATGTTCAATATACAGTTGTATTTAATGTGTTTTAGCTCATAAGGTACAATAATCATGAATTGCACAAATTTTAATGAACCAAGTTTTACTCTTCTCTTATAATAATAACAGTTCTTATAATGTCAATAACAGTAAAAAAGGATGCTTCTACTTCTACTAAAGTATAAATAAAAAACTTTTCGTTTTCTGCACATTCACATTCAGTTTAGGCAAGGGCTGCCCAATAAAAAGATCGGGATCTGCCAGTAAGAGGGAGTGCTGGTAGATCATGAACAATTAAAATAAAAATATAATATATATATATATATAAATATAATTCATAGTAGGTATTAATGACCATATACTGTAAGAATATAATAATATTTTGGCATAGAGATACATGCATTTAATCGGACGCCCAACATAAAATGTGTATACAAGTACAGTATGTTCAGTTCATATGATTTAAGGTTTTCAATGGAGGTAGATCACTTGAACCATGTCAGTAGCTCCCATGCCAAAAAAGTGTGGACACCACTGGTTTAAGGGCACTTGTCTCATCAATGACAGTAAATTAGGCAATACATATAGTACCATACTCTTTATTTGATTTGGGTTTCATATCAATGTTTTTACAGGGACATTTGGGAAATGATGGTCCAAAAGGGTCTGCAGGTCCCACAGGAGCCTCTGGCACCAAAGGCCTAAGAGGGGCCAAAGGATGGAAGGGTTATGGGGGCTTCATGGTAAATGATTTCAGAGGCTTTTTATTTGAACCAGTTGTTATCATCATTTGGACTGCATTTTCCACTTTTTTTTAACTATGCACTGTTTGTTTCTACCACTAGGGTGCTGCTGGTCTAATGGGAAGGGTTGGACCAATGGGCTTACTGGGACTGCAGGTGAATTCTGTTTATTTGAAGAAGGAATTTTGTTTTCAGAAATTATTTCCAACAAAGTTAATGTTGTAACATTTTTCAGGGGATTTCAGGTATTTTTGGGATTGAAGGAGAACCTGGTAAACCAGGACAAAAGGTAGGGAGAAAATAACTAATAACATATTTATATTCTATTCCCCTTTCATGAAAATTAAAAGATCTAATAACAGGACCTTGAAAAATGAGATTTTTGTAGGTTAGAAGTTTTAAGGCGTCCTGTCATTATAATTGGCCGGTGAATGTTTTGTATACCCTCTCATTACACACCTTAAATAGAAGGTACATGGATGGATGTATGAACTACTTAAGTTCTTTGTGTTCTATCTACAGGGAGATGTTGGTCCACCTGGTGTGATGGGAGAAACTGGAACTCCAGGTCCTCAGGTACAGAGTACTCCTGCTGGATACAAATCTATTCTTTAAATGTGGTCTCTGGTCCAAGCATGATATTGATTTAAAAGAAAATTCTACACAAATGCTGTAGATAAACTGTATTGTCTAATTGGAATTTAAATGCAGTATCTGTTCTATGACTGCAGGGATTGATAGGACGCCCAGGAGTGAAAGGTGACACTGGATATCCAGGAGGACTGGTGTGTTTTGTTCTTATATTTACTTTTTTCTTCTTTATAATGCGTTCCACTGGGTTAAAATCCTGTGTTGTTTGTTGCTTAACTAC